CAAAAGAAACTAACTTTATTTTTAGAACCACAAATGCCAAACAAAACAGCTCCTCAGGAAAAAACCCTCAGAGCCCAACTGCCACCACCAGCTTCCCACAAGCCTCTCACCCCAACACCAGCCTCTCCACCTCCCACAATCCTCCTGCTCTTGAGGCCGATTGGCTGGGTCGCGTGGGCAGAGCCAAAGAAGTCCCCCAATGAGCAGCTCCGTGGTCTGAAAGGGCAGGGAAACAGCCCAATGAGAATCACCACAGAGGAGCCAATCAGCTAGATGTTGCTGGGGCCGCTGTGAACCAATCATCAGCTGGCAGTCTGAAAGGGCAGGGAAACAGCTCAATGAGCATCTCCAATGAGCATCCCCACAGAGGAGCCAATCAGCTAGATGTTGCTGGGCTCACTGTGAGCCAATCATCAGCCGGCAGCTAGAAGTTTGCTGGCAGCTGGAAGTTTGCTGGGGCCCCTTTGGCTGTGGCTCTCAACAGTCTACTCCCTTGACATAGTGCCCTTTCTGCCCAGACATACTCAATCCAGCTACCATATTGGTAGCAGCCTTGGCAGAAAGGGGCAAAACATTAAAACAAAACCAAAAATGTAGGGATGCTGGGTTCAAGAGAGATTTCTGACAGCAGCTCTCTGGAGACGTATGGGGCAGGGAGGGATTCCATGATACCTGTTATGAATCATCATTGGAGCAATGACCCTTGGAAAAGTCACCAGAATCCAAGTGGAGTCACACTCTAACAAAATAATATGAAATAAAATAAAATAAAGGCCGCTGGTCATGGAAAGATCTCATGCACATGTGTTTGATAACAAGAACTATCACCACGGGCACCACAACATCTGCCAGATCATGTGGCCCCAGCAGTTGGGATATGGGCACTATGGCCTGGACCTGGCTGGGAGCTGCTTCTTGCCCTGATCTACTTAGAGCAGGACACTGTGATGTAGGGATGGATGAGCTGACACCAGAGCCCAGGTACTGTGCTTACCTCTTTGCGGCAGTTGATGCAAAATTCAATAACTTGACTTTTACTATTGAGAAATATCCTGACACAACTGGGTCCCAGGCTCCTAAAGACTTTACTGAAGATCTTTGTAGAGTTTATCTCCCACCTTCTGGTACACATGGGTCTTCCCAACTCCTCCAGGGTGTGAGTCTTTCTTCTTTATTTTGTACAATTATCAGGAGGCAGTTAATAAGTGTGATGCCCCATGATATAGTCAGGCCACGAAGGGGTATACAGGCCACATCACAACACAGTCCTGTCACTTGTCACCACTTCAACCTACATGTGAGCTCTTCTTGATCTGTTTCCTGCCCTTCCGTCCTTCCTACCAGACCAAGCTGCTTTTTATTTTATTTATGTGGATTTAATTTATTTTTAGGGAAACAATTTTGTCTATTTCTGATGCTAAATGAGTTTCATGTATCTTAACATATGGTGCATTTATTTCCAATACTAAAAATATAGGTCATTTGAAGACTTATAAAATTTGTTATTTAAAATGTTATGTAAATGAAATTAGGCCCCTGTCCCTCACCCTGCACAAAATTCAACTCAAAGTGGATAAAGGACCCAGGCATTAGACCAGAGACCCCTACACCTAGTAGAACAAAAAGTGAGCCCCAATTTCCATCATGTCAGCTTAGGAACTGAATTCCTCCACAAGACTCCAAAAGTGCAAAGAAAAATCAGGAATCAATAAATGGAATTGTATCAAACTAAAAAAGCTTCTTCACAGCAAAGGAAACAATCAAGAATAGGTAGAGCCTATAGGAGGGGAGAAAATCTTTTTTACCTGCACCTCAGATAGAACATTAATCTCCAGGATATGTAAAGAACTCAAAAAACTTAACACCAAAAAACACAAATAACCCAATCAATAAATGGGCAAAGGAATTGAACAGACACTTCACAGAAGAACAAATATGAATGCTCAACAAATATATGGAAAAAATGTGCAACATCACTAGTAATTAGAGAAATGCAAATTAAAACTACACTGAGATTTTATCTCACTCCAGTCAGAATGGCAATTATCAAGAATACAAATAACAATACATGTTGACAAGGATGCCGGAAAAAGGCACACTCATACATTGCTGGTGGGACTGCAAATTGGTACAAACACTCTTGAAAAACAGTGTGGACATTCCTCAGAAAACTTGAAATGGAACCACCATTTGACCCAGTTATTCCACTCCTTGGCATATACCCAAAGGACTTAAAATCAGCAGACTATAGGGACTTGCCACATCAATGATCATAGCAGCTCAATTCACAATAGCTAAACTATGGAACCATCCAAGGTGCCCTTCAGTGGACGAATGCATAAAGAAAATGTGGTACATAGACACAATGGAATATTACTCAGCCATAAAGAAGAATGAAATTATGGCATTTGCCAGCAAATGGATGAGACTGCAGGCTATCATGCTAAGTGAAATAAGCCAATCCCCCTAAAACCAAAGGCCAAATGTTCTCTCTGAAATGTGGATGCTGACTCACAATAGGTGGGGGGAGGAGGGAGGGAAGAGTGGAGGTTCACCAGATTGGACAGGCGGTGTGGGGGAAGGGAGGGAGGATGGGGATGTGAAAGACAGTAGAACGAATCAGACACAACTTTACTTTGTTCATATATGAATACATGAACAGTGTAAGTCCACATCATGTATAACCACAAGAATGGGAAATCATATCTATGTATGTATGATCTGTCAAAATACATTCTAGTGGCTTGTATAACCGAAAGCAAAAAAGACATGTAATTTTAAAATGTCTTTGTTAACAAAGCGTGTTTTCCTCTCACACAATTAAACAAATTTTCATTACTTGGTAAATGGGAAAAGGTGGAGATGAGTTTTGTTTTTTTTTTTTTAAATCGTATGTGATACTGTTTTAAAATGAGACATGCAGATCCCTTTGACTCATTGCAGTGGTAGAAAAGGCACTAGCAGGTGTGGACACTGGCCACACTCTGAGGCCTTGTTTACTGGCTCTAGCAGTGATAACCAGGGCCACTGCCTAGTGAAGACTGTAACAATGGTAGTCTGCACTCATTCTCTGGAGCCGCCATATTTGCAGGGCCCAGCCTGACAATTCTATGGCAGTATGATCGGTGTCGACGCTCTGCACCTTCTAGTTTGTTGATGACTGCCAGTTATATGGTTAACCTTGCCCTTCCGGAGAGGGCAATAACCAGGCTCTTTAGTGACCACTGCCTCTCTCATCAGTGCCTTCTTGGTGTCCCTGGTGAACAGTGTGTCCTCTAGATATTCTGAAATACAGGCTCTGGTGGGTCTTCTGACCCCATGTTACATGCCTACTCTAGCACACTCTTAGCTTTTTTTTTTCCTTCTGCCAGGGAAATTCAAGCATTTCTACGTTATTTCTGGTTCTTTCTTTCTTTCATTTTCTTTCTTTCTTTTTTTTTTTTTGTAATGGAGATTGAACCCAGGGGCACTCTTTAATTTTTTTTTTACTTTGTGACAGTGTTTCAGTACTTATTTGAGGCCTCACTATGTTGTTACTGAGGTTGGCCTTCAACTTGAAATCTTCCTGCCTCAGCCTCCCGAGTTGCTAGGATGATAGGTGTGCACCACTACACAGAGCATTTCTGGTCTTTTTTTGAGAGCTAACTAGTCCAGTAGCAAGTCTGTGCCATTTCTTAATATTTTGGCCGTGGTATTAAATTTCATATCCTGAAAACAATATATATATATATATATACTTAATTATTATTTCTTTCACTTTACATTCTGGGCGGCTTGATCAAACATCTCAAAATCCAGTCCCAGGCAAACTTTTCTCCTTCCACGCCGTATGCCAGCTCATCTTTTCAGTTCTCTAGGTGGATGTTCTTTCATGTCCTCTCAGGCTCAGCATGGCTCCAGGGGGTCACATTATGTTGGGATTCAACCTACTTGTTGTCCTGGCTGCCAGAAGTGGAGGATGCCCATTGACTTCTGTGTGTGGGTACTTTTACAGAGTGTGTACTTTTACTGAGGGCCCATGGGCTTCATAGAGTCCACATTCTTAGGAACATCATTTCTCCTGCAGTTTGAGGAATCCAACCAGAATCTCCTTCAAGGCACTACCCTGCGGTTCACAGACCTGATTGACTGAGCATTCCCACCTCTCCTGAGCACTGAAGCTCTCTCAAGTCCCTGCCTCTCTGCTGCGTCTGCTCACCCAGGCCAGGTGATAAGGGTTTTTTTTGGCAGCCATCACAGAAGCTCTTTGGTTCTCTCATTTGGCCATTGAAAGCTGCTTAACAGACTTCAGCCTCTCCTTTTCCTTTTGCAGGGTGTACATTCAATTGAGGAATATCAGTCAACTCTGCTGTTTGGTACACATTGTTCGCTCATATTTTTCAAATGCTGCACTTGTCTTGGCTCCACCCTCCACCAGCTGGTGTTCCGGGACAACCTCCTGTGAAATCTTAAGCAATTGCATCCCCATCTTGTATCAAGGACAAGATGTACCTCTCTTTCCTCCACCAACCAGGATGGTGACCTCTGTCTGCTGGCCAATGTGTGATACAGTCCCCAAGCCATAATGTGCCACCTCTTTTCTCAACTCATTCTCAGTACCACTTCAATTAATCTGGATCTTATGAGAAGCACATGGAGTTACAATCAACCCTCTGTATTTACAGACTTCTCATCTGCAGATTCAACTGAGGATTGAACTATATATATATATATATATATATATAAATATATATATATATATTTTTTTTTTTTAATTGCATCTGTACGGAACATGTACAAGCTCTTTTTCTTGTCATCATTCCCTAAGCAGCACAGTGTAACAACTATTTACATAGCACTAGGTGTTATAAGTAATCTAGCAATAATTTAAAGTAAATGGGAGAATATGTGTAAGTTCTATGCCAATGTAATGCCATTTTACATTTAAGCATCTACAAGTTTTGATTTCTACAAGAGATGCTGGAACCAATATTCTCTAGATACAGAAGGATAGCTGTGTATGATCTTAAATTGCAAAGATTTTATTAGAGGAAATGTCTATGTAAAAGAAAGTGGAGAGGTATGACAGCAGTCAGCTCATGATTCAAGTGAGATCCCAGCAAAGGAAAGAGGAATTGGAGGTTGGTGGAAGGGTCCTGGGCTGCTGTGTGGTCTAAGGAGGGCTCTGCAGGCTGCTGGAGTCCTTGACCAAAGCCAGCTCTCAGAGGAGTCCCATCTCCTGAGGAGCCTTGAAGTGCCTGGCCATTGGCTGAAAAACGCCTGTGAAGAGTGTGGCCTTGGTTCAAATGAAGGGACAGGTGTCCAGCCAAGCAGCTGGTGCTCTTGGCCAATTATGCTCTGCAATTGGAACTCGGTGGGGTGCATCCTGATCCTCTGCAGCCGAGCTGGGAACGGAAGCTGTGCTTCTTACTTCTAGAGCTCCTGCAGGATCCCGGGAGCCCATTGCATGGGACAACTTTTGCTATGGTCCTGGAATGAGAAAATGACCAGGAACACGAAGACATGAGGAATTAATTTATGCTCTTTTTAGAAAAGATTTTGAACTTTCTTTTCACTGGCCAAAAGGTGAAGCCAATGTCATAGCTGAAGAGATCTAGAGAAACTAGGTCGGTCGCTTCTGCAGGTGTACCTCCCCCCGGAGTCCCCGTGCTGCCTGCAGAGAACTGTCCTGATTGTTGCCCCTCTCACACCCAGCAACCTTGGGTTTTCAGAGCTTTAAGGAATATGCATTCTTTATTATGACACGAGTGTGAATAAATCACAGTGCCAAGTTTGCTAAATTAAACTCAGGGGCAGTGTCTGTAAGAAACCCTGCTGTGGAGGGATGTTTATTCAATGTGCTTTCTGCAGGAGCCAAAGACAGGCTGATGCTTTTATGGGGACTTGTTTTTTTGTTGTTTTTGTTTTTGATGGGGAGGATAACAAACCACTGAAAAGAGCAGGAAGTTTCCACTTTAAGATGTTCTATTTAATTCACTAAATATAATGAGTTAGGCCCCTGCTGACTTACATTAGAGAAAATAAATGCATAGTAAACTAAACTAAATTAACTAAACAAAACCAAGTTATTAATGACTATATGAAATGTAATTTCCCAAAAGCAACCTAGATTTTCGTGTTTTATTATCCCGTTAAAAATTCTTCCAGGTAGCAATCATCGTCTTTAACAAAAATGCACATTGTAGATCTTTTCTGACAAAAATATTTCTGATATGCCTTTTAACTGCATTATAAAATTAACTTCATTATTACTTAACGCATTACAGTTGTGATAGTTTTAACTTGATTTCACCTATACAGTTTTTAGATTGTTTTTAAAAAGTCCATTTTTATGTCTTCCTATATTTTATTTATTATAGTAAGTTCACAGCATCTTTCAGAAATCAACCATGCTAATTAGAAAACATTTTAGATTAAGAAAAAAATAAAAATTTTTTAATCCTAAAAATTTTGTAATAAAAATGCAATGCCTTTTGATATGATAATCTTTCATTGTAAATGTTAAGCATATATTGATAATGTTTAGTTAACACTGATATGTTCATATTATACTAATAATTAAACTCCATCAGATATCAATTGTCATCTAAGCAAAACATCAAGGAGAAATCTTTCTTTTATAACCTGCTGACCAGTGATGTGCTAGTAAACTGGTGTTTTGACCAAAAAAGTCCTGGTGTGTAGCATTTCCTGATTTCTGTGATGTGAACAAGCCCAAAGTGACATCCTAGAGTGTGGGATAGGGAGGTGCATGGAATCTATTTTCGGTAGGTCACTATTGCCACCAAACCAATCCCTCAATGCCTTCTGCCCTTGCTGATTCAGGTCAGTATATACATACAGCCACTCCTTGCTTAGCCATAGGACACCTTCTGAGAGATGCACCACTAGGTGATTTTGTCATTGTTTGAGCAACATGGAGTGTACTACACAAATCACATATATAGTAATCTACTGCTCCTAGGGCCATGATTAACAAAATAACTTGAGATTAAATCCAGTGTAAGAGAAACTGATGTGATCAAGAGACGCAGCATACACAAGATAGAAGAGGCTGTTGCTGGTTTTGCACAGCAAATTGATTTACAGGAAGTTTCTTATCACTAAAAGGAACACAGTCTAAAATACCAAAAAAAAAAAAAAAGTACAGTACAGCAAATGTATAAATCAGTAACAGGATAGTTTATTATAATAATTGTATTGCATACTGGGCATACTCACATGTGTTAATACTTTAATACACTGGGAATGTAATATGTTTATACTAGCACAAACACCTGGGAAATGTATTGCACTATGATGTCACAGTAGCTATGATGTCACTAAGCAGCAGGAACTCTCAGTCTATGACAATCTTATGGGACCACCCTCCTATGTGTGGTCTTATAGCTGACTAAAATGTTACTCAGTATATGACTGTATCACCTTATCTTCTTTTTTACAGTAACAGAAACTGGCCCTAAAAGCACTGACATGATGCCAATGTATACTCTCTGAGTCTTCCAATCCAAACCCATCTTTCAGAGAGTGTTAATAATACAAAGCATCTCTGCAATCGAACTCTGTTAGCTTTCTGTTACTTTCACAAAATACCTGAGATAATAAACTTAAAATGAGGAAAGATTTACTTTGGCTCATGGTTTGGGAGGTTTCAGGCAATGTTTTTTTGGACCATTGCTTTAGCATGGGTGACAAAGCAGTGCATCATGGGAGTGTGTGGTAGAGAAGCTACTTATCTCAGGAGAGTAGCAAGGCAAGGGAAAATAGGAAGGCTCAGGATTCCAATCTCCCCTGCAAGGAGATGCCCCAAGACCTGACTTTCTTCCACTAGGTCCCACCTCCTAAGGTTCTACCACCTCCCAATAGTGCCCCAGACTGGTGACCAAGCAAGATCCAAACTTTAATCACCCTCTTTACTCACCTCTGCCGTCCTGAGAAATTAGTATCATTTTTTCCATTTCAGTTTAGAAGCTGATGCTCAGTGGGATTAGGACAGAATGTGTTCCATACCCTCTGGCCTCCCCCTGGTGAGAGTGTTGAGAATGGAACTAGAAAACTCAGCCATCTGGCTTGGATCCCTTCATAAGATGAACTGGTCACCTTCCTGGAATATGTGTTTTCTGAACCTACATTTTGTTGGGATGGTAAAGTCGTCAGTGTCTCTTTGTGAAAAAAGGTACAAGCCCAGCAAAGGCACCCGAGGCTGACGGAAAGGCACACAAAGCCCCTGCCTGGAGCAGAGCCTGCCAGCATCTCCTCCCACTCCTCCAGCACCACCTGACTTGGCCAAGGGCATGCCGCTTCCTCTTGGAACACCTGTCCAAGTGTGGACAAAACACCAAAGGCCCGCTCTTTGTTCCCCTTAGCCCAGCTGAGAAAGCTTGGGGTTTTCAAAAGAAAATTTTACTAAAACATCAATGGAAAACAAACAATACATGAACAAAGAAAAAGACCGAAATCATAAAAGCTCTCTTCAAAGTTCTGAGATGGAGGCTTACAAAAGCTCACCCTTTCCCCAAGTTCATAGGCTTGTTGAGCATCCTGACCTTCAAAGTCTCCCCCGCACCCCCATTTTAAATCCTGTGCTATTTTTCCCTGCCACCCCCATCTTTGCCACCTCTTTTCTGAGGGAGAAAGTATTGCTCTCCTGAAGTGAAAGAACAGAACGTGAGATCAATGGGCTTATGCCACAGCTGGACAAAAGCAGCCCTTCCCCTCCAGAGGTTGCCAAATGGGGAGAAAGAAGTCACCAGATCACTGACTGCTCTCCTCTTTATGGAGTATGATGTGTAGGGAACAGGACATGGGAGCCAGAGACCCAGGATAGTGCCCCAGGTCCACTACGGTTCAGCAGTATGACCTGGTCAAAGCAACAGCCTTGGATAAGCCCCATCAGCTTTGGTCAGTAAGATGGAAATAACTATGTTCCTCTCGTGGGGGATGTGAAAGCAGGACGAAATGGCAAACAGGATGCACTGAGCCCAGTGCCTGACTGTACTTAGATGAACTCAGGATGAACTACTATTGTCCTTACAAAAGAGGACTTGAGCCTCACTTTTCCAGCATCCCTAACCTACTTCCTTATAAGAGCATATGCACAGGCCTTGGATGTCTAGCTAGAGGAATTCTATGACACTGTTTCCAAGTTCTGTGCCTGCCAGCAATGACCACTCAGCCCTCCAGGAAGCACATGTGAGTGTTCACAGGTTCCTCAACCCTTGCTTTCATGACTCTCTGGGAGAACTTGAGGCAGGAAAGATGGGAGGACGTGCAGAAAGAGGATCAGGGGAAAGGAAGAGTGAGCCATCCAAGATCACACAGGGTTCCAGGTTTCTGGAATGTGTCAGGTAATGCTGAAAGGTTAAAGAAATAAGAAGGACACATGCAAGTGGAATTTGCTTTGGTAACCTTAAGAATCAAAAGCCAAGTAACCCAGGACATGTGAAGCATCTTGGATTTCTTTTACTATTTCTGAAGCCTTCCCCTTCTCAACCTTCTTATCTCTCACATGCTTTTTCCTTAATAAAAGAAAAAAAAATTAAAGAGTGTTGCATGGAATGGATCAATGGTTTTTAAACTCCAAGATGGCAACAGTAATGTTCACCACTGTCACTGTCAAAACTGAGTCCTACAATCATGCTTACCATATGGTAGATGCGCAATATGTCATTTAATGAATAAAGAAGAATCCAAATCATAAAGCTGATAAAGTTGCTAATATTGAACTTCCAATTAAAGATGGGACACAAGGAGATTATATTCCCTTCTCATCCCTGAAAGTCACAAAAATGCATAAAAAGTGAAAATGAGTGAGAAACCCCATCTTAAATTAAAGACAGCCCCATTTCAAGAATATGAAGAATTTCTACAAGACCAAGTGACATTTTCATCAGCTGATGATGAAATGTTCCTGGCTGCCTCTGCCACACCCATTGTCCCTTCCTAGCTGTACTGCCATTGCTGGGCCTTGTGGCTTCAGTGGAATTCAGCTTGTTCTAGCTCAAACCGTGGACTTCACCGACTTGAGACAGTCCATGTTCTCAGCTTCCTGAGATGATTCAGTCAAGAATGGACATGATTCAAGTTGGATTCATGAGGATTCTTAAGGCTCAGTTCCAACACTTGGGTTGACCTTTTAAAAGGCAATTTCGTTGTGTCTGCCAAAAGATTGGGGGGCACCAGGGGAGGGCTTGCCTCAGAACTGAGGCAGCTCTCAAGATGCAGTAAAGAAACAGAAACTGCTCATAACCACTTCATCTAAGGCCTGAGTAAATCTCACTCAAAGCCAGTCCAGGGCTGTTCTGAGGGAGACAATAGAATTTGTTTATAGAAAGGCTGTTTGTTGAAGGATCCAAATGAAAGAACTCATTGTGAACATTGCATGTAAATATAGGGCAAATAAAATGGATTTATTTAATAAAATCCACTCAAATCTGTCAATTTTAAAAGGATAACAATTCTGGGTTAAATTCTCAAGAAATAAGAAAAGTAAGTTTAAAAACTGAGACAATTACTGCTACATAAGAGAATAAAAATGTCATAACTCTTCACAGAAGAAAAAGTAGTTATGATTAAACTTAAATGTCTAGAAATGGGAGGTAGAGAGATGCTAAGAGAAAATTTAAGTGCTCTACGTTCACATATGTCATAACAGGGAACCAATAAAAGTCATAGTTGATTATTGCAACTTTTAAAGTTCAAAGTTTAAAAAATTATGTAACAGTAAGTGAAATGAGAAATGAGGAATTTTAGGTGACTATAAAATTCTAAATTGGGATGTATGGATTTATTATAATTATCTGTCAACTTCACCCTCTAACTTATAGCTTATTTAATTTGGTTATATAGAATAGAAAGCTCCTGATAAGTACATTAGTTGCTATACACATGTATAAATTTTATATATAAATTTTTAAAAATTAGATGCTAACTTTGGAAATTAAGACCACTTTTCTATCAAAAGGAGCTGAAAGTTTGAAATCAGAGCAATACATGTATGTCAGGCTAAATAAGTAACAATATATTGTTCAATTAGGGTTAGAAGGCTTTGGGATATGAGTTTTGAAGGTGATACAATTCAGTCCATAACATTCAATAATTGTTTAATAAATCCCACAATGTCATTTTTTGAAATCTCAAGTGCCTCTGGGTTTATCTGCCAAAATTATTCAAGGTTTAAAATTTATTATGTTACACATTAACATAGCAGCTTCTGCACAATGGGTAACTTTAAACATATGCTAAATTTGTCAGCTTGTTAATAAGTTCAGCAAAACACAAAATCTCAAAATCAAGTTATGATGATGTTTTAGCTAGTGGAAATTTCTTATAGATGTTTGTTTTGCAATCTTACTTCTTACAACCAATGAACTTCACAATGAAAAAATCATGAAAATAATATATCACTGTTCAGGAATTTTGCAATAGAAATTATACAATTCCTAGAAAGACATTAGATGCATAAAATCGCAATGGGAATGGTATAGTTATCATTGCTTATAGATATCATATACATGAGGAAAGAAACAAAACTAAAGGCACTGCTGATGGGAATATAAAGTAGTGCGGCCACTGTGGAAAATAGTATGGTGGTTCTACTCTAAGTTTGAAATAAAATTGCCAAATGATCCAGCATTTTGACTGCTGGGTACATACTCAAAAGAACTAAAAGCAGGGACTCAATCAGATAAATATTTGTACAGCTATACTCATAGTCACATTGTTACAATAGCCAAAAATGTGGGAGCAACCCAAGAGTCCATTAATAAACAAATGGGTTTAAAAAATGTGTAATATTTAGATAATGAAATACTATTCTTGGGCTGGGGATGTGGGTCAAGCGGTAGCACACTTGCCTGGCATGCATGAGACCCGGGTTCGATCCTCAGTACCACATACAAGACAAGGATGTTGTGTCTGCCAATAACTAAAAAATGAATATTAAAAAATTCTCTCTCTTTCTCTCCCTCCCTCTCTCACTCTCTCTTTTTTTTTTTAAAAAAAAGAAATACTATTCAGCCTTTATAAGGAAGGAACATGGTCACATGCTACAAAGGATGAACTTTGAGGATGTTATGCTAAGTGAAAGAAGTCAGGCATAAAAGGATAAGTATGATTCCATTTATCTGAAGTACTTAGAGAAGTAAAACTCACCGAGACAGAAAGTAGAATGGTGGTTGTCCAGGCTAAGGTGAATGGAAATGGGGAGGTTTTGTTTGTTTTTCCTTTTGTTTGTGCTGGGAATTGAACCCAGGACTTTGTGCATCATAAGTGAAGGCTCAACCACTGAGCTTCACCCTTCCTGTTTAATGGGCACAGAGTTTCAGTTTTGGAAGATGGAAAAGTGCTGCAGATGAATCATAGTGAATCACATGGTTGCACAACAATATAAAGGAATTTCATGCCACTTTTTATGGTTTAGATGTGAAGAGTCCCCCAAAACTTATGTGAGAGACAATGCAAAAAAAGTTAAGAGGTAAAATGATTGGGTTATGTGTACCTTAACCTGATCAGGGCATGAATCCACTGAGAGCGATTAACAGGGTGATAACTATAGGCAGGTAGGGTTTGGCTGAAGGAGGTGGGTCATTGGGGGCATGATTTGGGGGTATATATTCATCAGGGGATGAGTTGCACTTATTCTCTCTGCTTTCCTTCACTGCACACTTTCACCAGGATGTTCTGCTCCACCTCAGGCCCTGAGGAATGGAGTTGGCCATCTATGGATTGAGACCTGTGAGCTGCAAATAAAATTTTCTCCTCTAAAATTGTTCTTCTCAGATCTTTTGGTCACAGCAGTAAATATCTGACTAAAATACCACTAAATTGTACACTCAAAATGGTTAAAATGGAATATTAACCTTTAAAAAAAGAGAGAGAGAATTTAGGAGAATATTAGAACCTCTTCACCCCTAGAATTCAGAATGATGGTTGAGTATACATCAATATGTATAAGTCAATATCATACGTGTACACAGACATATGATAATAGAAAACCAAACACCTAAGATAATAGAAAACCCTTCTTTTAAAATCCACTTTTACTTGTGGTAAAATATACATAATAATATTTACCATTTTGATCGGGTTTTTCGTATTTTTATAGTTACTGAGTTGTAAGAGTTTTTTACATATTGGATATACATTCCTTATCAGATATATGACTTCCAAATATTTTCTCCCATTTC